CTATGGTTAAGTCTGTCCATGTCCCTGTCCAAGGACAAGCTACTGTATATAAACAGAGAGCAAACCCCACTCCATTCTAGCACTGAAGATGTTACCTAGCTGGGTAACAAAATGTCAGAGAACCCCAAGGACTCCACAAATGATGGAAAATTAGCACTGGATAGTTCTAGGGGGTGTTTCTTAAAGTGTGGTCCTAGGACCCTGGCAGTCTCCCAAGACCCTCTCAGGGGTCCGCAAAATCAAAATTATTTGCCAGCCTATGTTGAAAAATAATACAATATTAAAATCCCATCAAACAATTGTGAGAAGTAGTATCAGCAAATGTTTCAATTTTAATTTTTAATAGGGTAAATATTGATAAATGTAACTGATGCAAACAAAGGCTTTTTTGAGGTCCTCATAATTTTTAAAGTGGGAAGAGGTCCTGAGAGAAAAAAGTTTAAGAAACACTGTTCTAGGGGAACAAACAGAGAGGGCCCTTTCAGACTGTGTTCTAATGGCTGTTTTTATTCTGTTTTGTTTTGTCTATGTGTTTGTTTTATCTTGTATTAGATTTTACATGCTGCCCAGAATCTGTTTGAGTGGACGGCTATAATAAATTTAATGAAAGAAATAAATAAAATAAAAGAATTCTGCAATTTGACATGGACTGGAGGCACATCTAAAGATCAGATCCAGAACAAGAGTAGCATACTTAGAGTGCACTTAAAGAAAAAAAAAAACTGGCTATGGAGATCATTCTCCCCCCCCCCCAGCCCCCAGTAACTGAAAAGCCAATTAACTGTGACTTGAAATGTAGGAGTCTGTGGGAGGACAAGGAGGGTCAGGTGACAGAACATGTGTCATGATGCAAAGCTCAAATGTCAAGATGCATATATTTAAGAACGGGGTTTGTGTAATAATATAACACTGCAAATAATAATTTTTCCATCATTGTGACTTGGAGTGAAGACGTACGGCTGGAAAGCTACAAATAAGGTCAGGTTATATTGCTCCTGAATCATCAATGCATTATCAGGTTTATTAATCTATATCGCCCCTAGGAAGCCTTGGAAATATAAAAATAATGGAATGTATTGCTGAACATAGTTTATATAAAATTGCATTGTAAGTCAATGGCCACTTAATATCAATTGCATCAACTTGTTATTCTACAGTAGAATGATTACATTATGACAGTAGCATTTTGGTAAGATACTTTAAAACAAATGCAATCTAGTGCTAACTGATAGAAAATATTGCTTTCTTGTGTCCTTTCGTTGCTTATCTTAAGAAAATTGAACAAATGTAGTAATAATGAGCATAAATGTGTTCTATAAAATTTTAAATGCCCAATATAATCAGTGACAAATCTCCACATGCTAAGGAAGTTTAATATTTTGATGATTTGATGATTTCCTTGTTCTATTTGTAATAAAAAATAAATTGCTTCATAATTCTGCAGTGTAAGATTAAAAAAAACAACAACAACCTTACCCCTTAAGTGTGGATCCCAAGTTCATTTGGTTCCATGTCATGCATTCAAGTTGAGAAGTCATTTGGTATATATTGTCACTGTTATGAAAATATTTCAAGTTAGAACTAAAGTTATATGATCCACTTCAAATAATTAGATTAATAGAGAAGCAACATTATTTCCTTTTTTAAAAAATTCAAAAACAAATCTAAACCAATCTAAAGTAAATCATCTATAACTTTGTAAAATCATAGACTAATTTATAAGACTAATGTGTAATTTATAAATTTTAGGAAAACAAAACAAGAGTGAAAAAAAAATAGAATAATGTCAAGAGAAGACATATTATCTCCAGAGTTTTCAAAAGTTTCACAAAATGGTTGATAGATGATAGATAGACCCAAAGATATTCTCCTAGTTTAAACCATTTGTAGCTTGTGGAAGCCCAGTTTAAATCCAGTATTTTTGGTTATGACTGTAAACATATTATACTACATTTGTACAACTTTTTGTAAGTTACATTACTGAAAGATTCTGCTTGTGAATTTGTGCTGTTTGTTCCATTAGCACTTGTGCAGCCCAGCTGCTGTTGGAATACCATCTCTAATATTTTTCTACGCTCATTAAATTGGATACAGTTGAAAAATTATTTCTACAATTTTACTCCCAAGAAGGAAGAAATATATCTAGTTTCATTGTTTCTAAATCCGTAATATCATTCCCTGTTTTGGAAGAACATATTATTGAATAGGAGTTACATAGGTAATTAGCTGAATTAGCTATGGGGACAATTAATATTATATAAAATAATTTGACACAAAAGGAAATTGGACCTACTCATGTATAAATAACATAGACTGACAACTATTATTTGTTTACCTTATATTATAACTAAAACATTTTTTAAAAAGTTAACTTAATTTGTATTAGCATAATATCTACTTATAAGAAAATTGTTAGTACTATTCAAGAAGGAGGAGGAGGAGGAGGAATTAAGACTGTTTTTGTTGAATACTTTTTCCATATAACAATAGTTGAGACTCTTTTCTTTTCCTGTTTTTTCTATTCTTTCTCAAATGGCTAGGACTGTTCTGACTGCTTCTACATCTCTAACTGAACATGTCCCTCAATCACAAATACATTTTAGGCAGATTGATAATGTGGTGCCCAAATTACCCAGACAGATGTTCACAGCACATCATTACAAATATTTGAGTAGACAAATTATCATCTGAAAAATCCCCCATTTCGATGACATTTTCCAGAAAGATATTTTGCTGGCTAACAGGTAAGTTCAACTTATTTACAAGCTTCTAAAGAAACCATCTGTCTAGATAAAGAAAGAATACCATTTCTGTATATATGTCTGCTCTACTTTGTATCATGCTCTTAATCATAAGACAAAAATCTTTCTGGTAAAAATGTTAATGTGTTTGATATATCCTAAAAATCATACTTATATGGACCATCCATTGATTGTAAATTCATCTGAATATGATTATAACAACATTCTGTAAAATACATTTTAAATCATCTTCTCTACAGAAATCTGAAGTCTAAATTTTGCCAAAATACTTTTTACATACACATCTACACACACATATGCACATGAAGAAAATAAAGTCAGATGACTTCAGTTGCAAAGTATGTGTAATACCATTTGTTATTACCTCGGCATACTATTATTCATTAGAGTGTCTGAATTACTATTATGTGACTACAATGTCCTGCATATCAGTTCAGAAATTGTTAAGACACTCCTGCAGTTTCCCATTTGCAACAGAAGCTCGTGCTGGTCTGTGCCACCACATTTTGCAATTCCATGAATTCTTCTTGTAATGCTGATGTAATTAATTCCTCAAGGGCCTTGATTTTTATTAGAAGTGCCAGACCTGTGCATTTACAGCAGGAGATTTTCCTTTAACTTTATTTCATTTGACAGTTCATTTATAAGAGCCTCCTCCACAAGGCCTCTTTTTTCCTTCATTTGCTTTTTCATCAAGTAATACACTTACTCATCTTGTCATCAACAAAAAGGCACAAAAATTGCCAGGCCAAGGCAGAGAAGAAGGCTAGAACTTGAACATTCCTGGGGATAACTTTTTACTCATAGTAACAGAGAAACCACATTTGGTGCAATCTTCTCAGAACACACTATTGGGTGTGGAGAAGTGGAACAAATAAGTTAGAAAACAGAATGATGCTCAACTCAGAAATTGCATTATAAAAAATATCTGCAGGATCAGAGTCAACATCCACCTAGTGTTCATTTTTCATAGCACTCAACCAGATGCTCCTTGGGCCACAAAAGTAACACATGAAGACAGTAGCTAGGTTCGTACATTGGGCTAAGCCATGGTTTTTACAGTATGTGAACCAGTGTGTGTTCACTGTTAGTTAATTGTTAGTTCAGTATGTGAACCAGCAAACATTCCCAGGCATCCTGTCTTCAGCACTTGTAAACATTTTAATAGATGTTATAGCTAGATAGTGCTGCCATACCTAGGCTGCAAAAATCCAGGTGGCCACTAGACAACAGCAAGGAGATACAGAAAACCAATAACTCTTTACTGCTATCTAGAGGTCACCTGGAAGTTTACAGTCTAAATATGGCAACTGTAGTAATAAAAAATCTGTGTATTTGACCAGCCTAAATGGTAATCAAATTATGAGATCTGATAACTGTTCTAGCTGCATTGTTATGTTGCATTTTTTACCCAGATATTAGTAATCACACCTCTTTCTTTGAGGCTCTTTTTTCAACTGAGAACATTTCTACTGTTACTAAGAAATTTGCAATTTTTTCTCCATAGTGCATGGATGAATGAACATCTTCTGGTGGCACTTAATCCCTTGCTCCCTCCACATCCCTTTTCAATTTATTCTGAAAAATTCCCCTAGTCTTCTGGAACAGATTTTAGGAGTAGTAGCTGAAAGTCACTTTCCCATTCTGGAGATGAAAGTCTTATTATATCAGTGAGAGACATCAACTGGATACAACCCTCAGTTAATAAGTATCTGTTTCAGGTTGTACTCATGTTTTAATTTCATGCTGATCATATATTTGTATAACTTGTAAATGTCTGTTTAGTTAAAAGGTGAAATATTGTATTATTCTTTTTAAAAAATAGTTCACAATTGAAATAAATATGCTTATTCATAACTACTTACTCTCTACTGAACCTGGACCATTTCATCATTGAGTTCACATGGCACATAATCATGAGCTAGCCAACCACATTTTAACTTACTCTGTGTTGTGTACACTAATTCCATGTCATTCAGTATATTATGTGAATCCATAACACTTAGCTGGATTTTTTAAAAATCATGGTTAAATTAGTCATAGGTAAGCATTCCAAACAAACATAGCCATTGACTAAACCCTAAATTCTAGTATTATATGAAAGAGAGAAAAGTTCTCTGTAACCATGCATTTAGTTTTAGCTTTTTCTCATGGGGGAATTGCCATTTCTCTCTCATTCTGGTTTCTTTCCTGCAGACTTTCCAGCTCTCTAATATTACATACTAATGACAGCATCTGTAAAGTAGATGACTTTCCCAACATTCTATCATTCAAAAGCCTGAAAGTACAATTCATCATACAGTCAATACAGTTTATCAGTCAGTATGAATTTCAGCACAGAGAAACTATTTGGTGGGAGATATGATCTAAACAATTGGAAAAACAAAAGGTTATATACTAATTTTAACTTTTCCTTTGCACTGCAGACTTCGCATTGTTTGGAAGTATTTTGGGGCCTGTCCGAAATATTTAAGTGTATCCTGTTGGAAGTTTAGCTGTTGTGGAAACGTGCCTCCTGTCATCCTCATCATTGTTTATATTTTAATTAGTAACCTTTAACTAAGGCCAAATATTATGAAAGATGCCAACATCAGATCAGTACTTACTTCTTAAAAGAAAAACAATTATTGGAATGTTCAGGTTACATCAGGCAAGCCAAGATAGATGGGGGAGAAGAAGGTGATTCATCTGTCACGTTTATGAAGGGCTGCTGGGTGTCTTTACCTCTAAGTTGCTGCCTCAGGTTACTGCTTTGTCTTGGCTTACATTTGTGTTTGATGTGCCACTGTGCATATCTGGCAGAAATCTTGATACATTTGTTTGTATGTGAAATATGGCAAGTATATGAACATGCCTTTGTGTCATGTTTTACTGCAGTTATTTACAGTAGTGCTGTGCAAACATTTGTATGTGACTTCTGTGTATATTGGTTTTGCATGCAATTTGCAACTCATTTCATACTCTATTTTAAACAAACAAACAACAGTGTTTCACAAAAAAAACACAATTTACTTTCATCAAATATTTATGAAATGCTACTACATATCTTTATGTAACTGAATTGTGTTTTTAATGTGAAACACTGTTGTTTATTTATAAGATTTATAGGCCACCCTGATTCCTACATGCATGAATGTGTGAATCAGTCTGAATTTTAGAATATTTTTATGCAAATATCTACCTAGTGTGGTCATAAAACATGCTAATGTGCAGCCTTGCATGTGAAACAGTGATTCTACATATATGCTGTTGCATGTGATTGCTTCAGTTTGTGACATTTTGCACCTGAATTTATAACATCATACTTTCTGACACATTAATACTTGCAGAATTTGCTTTTAACGCTCTGCAGCATACTTCCATATTTTCATTGACTCATTTATTGTAATTCTAATCTGCCTTTCTTTGAACTTCAATGTATTTGAACTTCAGAATTTTATCTCCAGAATCTACAAAAAATCCCTTGAGCCAATAAGATCTTCTCATTCAGAATACCAAGGATAATGTGGAGCCATTTTCCTTCCTCGAGCTTCAACATGCATATGAATATCCCATGCCTTTCCTAGCACAAAGAAAGCATTTATAATAACCCGATGAGCACAGACTGGGATGCCAGTATTGGATGTCTTTAGGGGAGAAAACAGTTATTGCTCTATGACATCACCTGCCCCCCCCCCCGGAAGTCTTGGAATGGAAGCTGGGCAAGAAAGCATTAATGGAACCAGAGGAAGAGAAGACAAACACAGCTATAATGGGCACCTGGGCTTTTCATTACGGGTTGCAAGATCAAAA